TTTTTTTTTTTTTTTTTAAAAGTAACGGATTTGATGGGGCTGTTGTTGTAGCTCAGTTGTAGAACACTTGCCTAGCACCTGTGAGGCACTGGGTTTAATTCTTAGCACCCAAATATAAACAAATGAATAAAAATAAAGGTCCATTGACAACTAAAAAATATTTTTAAAAAAGTAGTGGATTTGAGTTAGTTTCCAAGAAACTAGAAATCATTTACCCTTTCATCCTCTACAGGATGAAAATCATGCAGGGATTTTCTTGGTTAATAACTTTTCTAAGTATTAGGGAATCTTGATAACTTTTCCAGTTATTTAGCTTCTTGGCTTGTCCTCACTGAACCTTCTTGTAATAGGAGATGTATACTTTTGGGAGTTTTGGCTTGGCTCTTCACTTGCCTGCTTTTGTTGCACACATGAATCTCAAACTGAAGGATTCAGACAAACCTATGTATATATTTATAAAGGCAAAACCTCCATAATGCATATCCCTCTCTTTATGTGAATTTCCAAAAGATTAGATATAATAGCAGCTCTGTTTATATATTTGCTGATGATTATGAAATTCTTTGAACATAAATTTCCAAAAGGTTTCTTTGTGATAAATCCTGGAATTAGGATAGTTTAGACAGGGTTTCAGTAACAACCATGAAATCTGAGACTTAACATTATTAAATTATCATCTCTTCCACATTATGGTCAAGTGCAGGTTAAGTGGCTCTCCTAAAGCAGCTCTTCTCCAAATCCTGTCATAGGAACTAAGCCTCATCCATCTTGCAGCTATGCCATCCGCCATCTGGAGCATTGTGGCATCCAGCTTTGTCACAGAGAGAGAGCTTGGATAATCATGCAGGGATTTTAATGGTCACAGTAGAGGGGCAGACATCTCTTCCCCTCTCTCATAAGCCATAATCCAGTCTCCTGGCTATAACCTGACTGCGGGGGAAGGTGAAAACTGCAGTCTTCTGTACCAGGAAGGGAAAAATGAAATGGCTTTTGGTGGATACACAGCATTATTTCTGCCACAGTTCCCTTCTCTGACCTCACTCTTGGCTCCTTTACCACCTTTCAATAGTCTTGCTGTTCTCTGGCTCTTAGGAGTTCAGCATCTTTAAGACTTATCCTTGGCCCTTACATTTTGAGTAAAATTCCATTCAGCCCTATTCTAGAGTTCATGATCTTTTCACTTATCTGGTGGTGGAGGGTGACCATGAAGGTCCAGAGGGAGTGGGTTCAAGAGTTTCTTTGTTCCAGTTCTTCCACTCTCTTCCACTTGGCTTTGAACTTTCATCCTATACTTATCCCTTTACTCCCAAAGGTCATCCATTTTTCACTGAGTAACTTGCATGAGAAGTATGGTAGTAGCCTCCATATATAGATTTTCTGTAACTTAAATAATTGAAAAGGTGTTTAGAAGTTTACATGTTCAGAAACTCCCTTTCAGAAGTTCCTGCAAATTAATGGACTCTTCTAAACCAAACACTTAAATGGTAAATGAAAAATTTCAATTTATGTTTAGGTTAATAATTACTAAATATTAGCAGTACTGGTATTTTAGTCAGTTTTTATTTATTTGCTTATTTTATTTTTATTTTTTGTGACACTGGGGATTGAACCCAGGACCTTATGCACATGAGGCAAGCACTTTACCAATTGAGCTGTATCCCCAGCCCTCAGCCAGCTTTTTCTTTGCTGTGACCAAAACACCTGACAAGAACAATTAGAGGAGGAAAAGGTTATTTGGGCTCATGGTTTCAGAGGTCTAGTCCCTAGATGGCTGACTCCTTTGCTCTGGGCCGGAGGGAGGCAGAACTCCATGGTGAAAAGGCCCAGCAGAGGGAAGCAGCTGAGAGCACAGCAATCAGGGAGCAGAGGGAGCGCCACTCACCAGGGACACAATACAAGCCTCAAAGTCACACCCCCCAGTGACTTTTCAGCTCCAGTCACACCCTATCTATCTTCAGTTACCATCCAATTAATCCATATCAGTGGGTTAATGCACTCACCGATTAGGTTACCACTCTCCTAATCTGATCATTTCACCTCTGAAAAATTCTTGCATTGCCTCACAGATGATCATCTGAAGGACATCTCATAGCTGAACCAGAACAATTGCCACATCAGAACATTCTGTTTCTAGCAGGAGATTGTACGAGGCAAACTACTGAGATGTCAGTGTCTGTCACAGGTTCCTTGAAAAGTAGCTGTTTTTCTTCTTTAAGATTTTTAAAAGAGAATAAAATCATGGCATTTGCAGGTAAATGGATGGCATTGGAGAAGATAATGCCAAGTGAAATTAGTCAATCTCCCCCAAAACAAATGCTGAATGTTTCCTTTGATATAAAGAGGCTGATTCATAGTGGGATAGGGAGGGGAAGAGCATGGGAGGAATAGATGAATTCTAGATAGGGCAGAGGGGTGGGAGGGAAAGGGAGGGGGCAGGGGATTAGCAAGGATGGTGGGATGTGATGGACATCATTATCCAAAGTACATGTATGAAGACATGAATTGGGTGTCAACCTACTTTATATACAAACAGAGATATGAAAAACTGTGATATATATGTGTAATAATATTGTAATGCAAAAAAACCAAAGTACATGTATAAAGACATGAATTGACATGTACTTTACATACAAAGATATGAAAAACTGTGCTTTATATGTGTAATAAGAATTGTAATGTATTCCATTGTTGTGTATTTAAAAAAATAAAATCAATTAAATAAAAAAAAGATTTTTAAATTCAGGCTGGGGTTGTAGCTCAGTGGTAGAGCACTTGTCTAGCATGTGTGAGGCACTGGGTTCGATCCTCAGCACCACATAAAAAGAAATAAATGAAATAAAGGTCCAAAAATTTCTCAAATTCAAGAGTTAATAGACATAGGTATGGCCATAAGTGAAATAATCCCTTTAAAATGGCAAAATAGGATTATTAAAATGACCTTTATCAGATTTGATGACAAATGTTTTGACTGCCATTATCTACTCTTCTAACCACAAGCAAAAATAGTGGTCTAAAATAACTTTGTTTCCAACTCCTAGGCCTGCACCAGCAATTGTGTGGTTGAGAATTTTGAAAACAAGAAATTACTGGTAGAGAGATGCAATTAGATCCAGTTAGGGAAACCTCTCTGCTCTTGCTGTTGCCAATGCTTTCCTCAGAGAGGTGTTATCATCCAGGGCCCTGTTTATGTGCATCCACGGTGCTGGTAGTTGACTTAGTAACTGGCAGTGAAAGAGTTTCTGTACCCTGTCAGGCATTCCCATGTATATAGAGTTAGTAATGTCATTACTTTTACCAGTACTTAAATTTTTAAAAGGGAATTAATAGATATACTATAATTTAAGTTTTGAATGTAGACAGTTGTCAGTCAGTACACATTTGTTTTATAATAGGAATTGTGCAAATTCAGTAGGAATTGGGGAATTCAATAGGAAAATATGACTGAGTATAAGCATCTACTGTATTTCTGTGTTGTGAAGGTTGCCCTCTGCCACAGAGTACTGATCATACACTTGAGGTTCTCATTTGACTGCTGACTGGCTTTAAGCTACCCCTTTGCAACCCTCCTCACTGGATCCTGATAGAATGCATTAGGTGCAGCTCCCAAAATGATGCAAAACCAGAGTCCTCCCATTCTTCAGTTAAAGAAGAATGCCAAGGTTTCCTAATGTGGCAAAATTATAGAAAGTCAGAATTTCAGAATAGGAGGGACCTGAGGAATCTTCGGTTGTATTCTTTTGTTTTTTGCAAAGGGAAGCAAAGACCTAAATTTAGGATACATCAGTGGCTCCAAGTGGGACATACTGACCTCCGACATTACCATTAGAATTAAATGAGTTAATGCCTCTGTAGCCCTCAGAACAGTGCCTGGACACAGCAAGTGGTCAATAAAAGCCAGTATCATATGTTATCATTATTCCTAGTGGCAGACCCAAAAAGGAATACAGGTGCCCCTAATTCAGGGCTCTTTAGGAGATACAAATTTTATATTTCACACATTGTTCAGGGAACAACATTTTTAGAATTTGAGTTAAAGTCTCAGTAGTTATAGAGCCACAGTGCCTACTACTGGATACTTAGTGTTGATTTCTGGGCTAAGCACTTAATATTCATGGATTCATTTAATCCTCCCAGTGTTCTATGAGATTCACACTTTTGATTTTCCCCATTTGACACAAGTTGGGAACTTGCCCATGGACTTACCACCAATAATGAGGCTGGGTGAGATTTAAGCCTGCTCTCTCTCACTTCAAAGTCTATATTCTTTACCATTATTTTTCACTAGGAGTTGCCAAACTACAGCTCACAGGCTAAATACAGACCTACCTATTTTTTTTATAGTCTGCATTCTAAGAATGTTTTTTTTATTTTAAAAAATTTTTAAATGGTTGAAAAAAAATCTAAAGATGAATATTTCCTTACACATCAAAAATAGCATGAAATTAAAATTTCAGTGTCTACAGATAAAGTTTTTTTTTTTTTTAATACAATCACAACCATTCATTTGTGTATTGCCTGTGGCTACCTGTGTGACATGGTGGCAGAGCTGAGTGGTTGTCAGAGATACCTGGTGGCTGGCAAAGCCTGAAATCATGTTTATCTGACCTTTATTGAAAAACAAAACTTGCCAGTTCTTGTTCTATGTTCTTCTTCACTGGTTAGGTTTTATGAAATTTCAATTATTTGAATATAATTGTGGGATTTTTGGGGGGAGGGCGGGGGTTCCTGTCTCCTCCTACTCCTTGCAGTTTAGTTTGTTCAATTTTCATTGACATATCAAATGAATCACACTTCAGTTGTCTGTGTCTTGTCTTTTTAAGCAGACTGAAGACCGATTTGTTTCTGGATGATGTTTGCAACTTGGTGATGACCTGTCTTTATACTACCGGTGGACTGTGACCATTGGTGCTTTGTCCCCCTGCGTTTATTTATTGAGCTGGCTATTTTTATACTTCCAGGGTTTCAGATGCAGAAATCACTCTATTTTCTTTCCTTTATAGTGGTTTGCTGTCTTCTGATTACGTGGAGATTCACTATGAAAATGGGAAGCCACAGTACTCAAAGGTATGGTTTGAAGCTTTGGGACAGCCTGTGTAAGCACACCCCTCACAGGACAGGCCCCTGCACCCCAGATTGCTTGGTGTGTCTGTCAACGAAAACACCTGGCCTCCTATGCAAGGTTACTGTGTTACAAGGAGAAATTCATTACAACATGCAAATATTTGAGGTAACATTAGAGATTCTGTATATCTGGAACAATATGGAAATGTTTATTGTTTTAGTCATGCATACAGTATCTTATGTAATGGTATAAAGGGCTGAACTTTCCAGATCAACACCTCAGTCCAAATTAGGCATCCCTTATTTCAAATGCTTAGCATTTTGGGGTTTGGATTTAAAAAAAGTTTCACAATGTTTTTGTAATTGTAATGAGATATTTTTGTGATGGGACCCAAGTCTAAACATGAAATTCATCTATATTTCATACACATAGCCTGAATATAATTTTATATAACATTTAAAATAATTTTGTGCACGAATCTCATAGTGTAAGATTTTCTACTTGTGGTGTCATGTTAGTGCTTAAAAAGTTTTTCGAGTGTTTTGGATTTCAGTTTTTGAGATTGGAGATGCTCAATTAGGCTCTTATAGTCACAGCATCTGAATTATAAGAATAGATGGGCTCTTAGAATGACTATTAAGTACAAGTTACTTTGGTGCCCAAGAAGGGGAAGAGGACAAGAAGAGGAAATGAGACTTAAGGAGCACTCTCTTCATAATCTTCACAGCAGTCCTACGGGGGTGGATATTATTACTCTTGTTGTGCGGAGGAAGAAACTGAGGCAGAGAGAGGGTAAAGAAACCTTCTTGAGGTCATTAAACATTGTCATATAAAGGTATTTGATTTCCTTCAGTTGGAGGTTAAACTTCCCTCTCTTCATGGAGGATCAATGAAGCGAAAGAGAGCTTAAATTAAAGCAAGAGAGAGTTCATTTGTAAGTAAAAAACGCAGTGATCTCCACCAGTCTCGGTGAAAGTCTGTGGAATGGCTACAGAAAGGGACTCTGATTTGGGTAGTGCCACTGAGCTTAGCAGTATCCATCAATACCATTGACACAGGAGAGGAAATGGAACAAAGCAAAGTGGGGAAATATCATTGATTTTGTTCTTTTCTAGGTTGCTAATGAGTGTCAGCATAAAAGTGGCATCTTTCATGTGTGGACTTGCTAAGCTGTGCAGCAGGGAGCATGGGGATCCTCAGTCTGTAGCCTCTCAGCAAATATTTATGGGTGGCCTTAATTGTAAATACTGCCCAGGGGCCATGGTATTTCTTAGGATCTATAACTGTCCAATTAACAGTGGGCACATTTGTAATTTGAAGTGTGTTTTAGTCTTTGAATTGTATGCCACAGATTCTGTTATTATTACTATTCATCAGTTCTTGTCTTAGGCTGCATCTTGGGGGTTTGTTGAATGGCCCTAAAAGTTAATGCTGTGGAAAGTGAGCAGCAATGCTAAATCAAGCACAGGAATGGTGCTTCCTGGCATTTGTACAAACCAAAGCTTCTGTCAGCTGTGCCAGTGCCCTGAACACTGCGGATGCTGAATCATGAGTCTGGAGTAGACAAGATTGCATGAGAACTTTATAGACTCAGCAAATGAGCAACCTTTGCATCCTGCAGTAACCTAATCTAAACTTCTCACCAAGAAGTTCAGTCGATTTTTTTTTTCCTTTTTTAAAGAAGCAGAATAGCTAATTGGCCTCCAGAAGTCATTTGAGGTCCTCAAAGGAAGCCTTATCATTACTAACACACTCCAGGCTTCCTGTTGATTGTAACTAAAATTTAAAACAGAGGATGGCAAAAGAAAACATGTTCACTGCAGTTTGTTTTTGTGTTTATTCCTTTTTTCTCACTATGACTCATTTTCTCCAAATAGCTCTCTGACGTTCACAGCCTAGTTGTACTAGTGCAGTGGGTAAGGTTGCTGAGAAACCAAGCAAGATACCTGGACATAAAATATGAGATGTAAGGTTACTGAAAAATTCCATTGGGTAAGATCCAATGGTGATGGGCTGGACAGATGTTTTATCAGGAAGTCCAGTGGCAACAGGGTGAACATCTGCACCTCTGACCCACATAGTACATCCAGTACCTTGTCAGGAAGTATCACCTCCTATCCCTTAGGATACTTTGTCTGGAAGCTGATGCCTGGATAAATTCTTCCCTCTCCATGGTTCTTTGGCAGTACCAGTAGGGAAAAGGGTTTTATATTAATTTGCTTAGTTCCTTATATGACCAGCATCCCAAGGAGCAACTATCTTGGCTTGCGTGCAAGAAAGCAGCTTTCCACAGATAACACTAACTTGCCCTAATTCCCAGCACACATGAGAGAAAGTCAGTATCCTTCAAGATAATACATATCTTGACATTCTGGCCCAGATGTCCTCTCATTGTTTCCTTAACCAGGCAAGTTTTTTGGGAACAGAAAGAGGCATTCAGGGGCATGTTCTTTTACTGTCTCCCTTTTTTCAAGAATTACACAAGCTTGCTTCACGGATAATGAGTTAATGGTAAATGCCTGTTTTTTATGTGTCTATGTTTATATACCCCTGCAAACCTCAAGATGATATGGTACACACAATTCTGTGGCAAGATTTAAAAGTTCTAATGATAGTATAAATACTTTGGCATGCATTAAATATCTTGTAGACCTTCACTTTTTAAAATTGCATACCATTCTTTTAAATTAGTTTGTTATAATTTGTTTGCAAATCCCATGGTCATTGACATTTAAATTGTTGCTAATCTTTCACTCCAACCCAAAGGAAAGAGCACATCCTTAATACTTCCTGTAGAATTAATTCTGAGAATTGGATTTTCTGGGTCGCAGAGTTTGTTCAATTTTTGGAAGGCTTTGGTACAAAGAGGCAGTTTTTCTTCCTGAAAGCTTATAGAAATTCACATTCCCACTAGCATTGCATACATGTTTTTAGAGCCATTTTACAGTAAACTTTATAATGATTACTTTCCATGTTGTTTAAGAAAACCTTTATACAGAGTACCAGAAAGACAAATTAGTATGTAAGAATGGCTAGGTTCAACTTGTACACATTATATAATCCTTCCTTCCAAAGATCACCAAAGTGTACACACATAAAGCCACCTGCCCACCCCCACACACCGTGTACTGTTCACAAGGTGAGAGAAGAATGGAAACACAGACACTTAGGATATTCTGGAAATTAATTGCAAACAAATGCCACATCCACCCTTGGAAGAGGGTTGTCTAGTTTTTCCCATTTCCTCTCTGTCAAGCCCTACTTCCCACTTGTATCTACAAAGAGGATAATGTCTTGGCTTTTACCTTTGTTCAATGAAAGTGGGATAAAAAGATCCCTTTCCAAGTGACACAAATACAGGAACTAGAAAGGTAAAAAAAATATATTTAAGCACATAATATAAGTGCCAGGTGTCAGTTGATGCATATGGAAGAACATTTTTCCTGTTCCCAACTCAGTACTTTTTTTTTAAAAAAAATATTTATTATTTAGTTGTACACAATACCTTTATTTTATTTATTTTTATGTGGTGCAGAGGATCGAACCCAGGGCCTCACACATGCTAGGTGAGTGCTCTACTGCAGAACCACAACCCCAGTCCCTCAGCAGTACTTTTTATTTGAGTTCGCACTGCAGTACTTTTTATTTGAGTTTGCACTGCAGTACTTTGTACTTGGTTTACAATAAAACAATTTTTCCTACGAATTTAAAAAATAACTTAGTTATCTTTTGTTTGAACAAAATTATTGAGATCTAATTTGCATGCGGTTAAGTATATCATTAAATTGGTTTTAGTATATTTACAAAACTGTGCATCCATCAACATAATGTAATTTTAGAACATTTTCTTCGCCCAACAAAGAAATACTCCACTTATTAATAGTCATATCCTATCTTCTCTCTCATCAGCCTTAGGTAACTACTAAGCCACTTTTGTATATCTATGGATTACCTCTTTTGGATAGAAACAAAATCTATGTAACGTGTTGTTTTGTGATTGATTTCTTTTTTTTTTCCAGCTTTATTGAAGTGTAATTGAAAAATAGGACTTAAATATAATTAGTTACACAAGTTAGATTTTATATATGAGTTGTATACATTTAATTTGTGCAAAGCACTGTTTTGATATACATATACAATGTGAAATGATCACTACACTCAAGCTAATTAACATCTATCACTTTATATATTTATTTATTTTTGTAGTGAGAACATTTAAGTCTATCCTCCTAGCACATTCAAGATGCTATGATTAATGTAGAAACCGGTCTGCTCATTGGATCTCTCGATGGGATCTCTAAAATTCACTCCATCTAGAAACTGCTCCATCTTCAGATGAGATCTCTGGAATCCATTCACCTTGTATGACTGAAACTTCGTACCCTTTGAACAACGTCTTTGTTTTTCCTTTTCCCCAACATTCTACTCTTTGCTTCTAGGAGTTCTGATTACTTAAGATTCCACATTAGGAGAGATTGTGTAGTGTTTGTCTTTCTATGCCTGGCTTCTTTCAATTACCACAGTGTACCCCAGATTCATCTGTGTCATCACAAATGGCAGGATTTCCTTCTTTTTTTTTAACACAGAGTAATATTCCATTATATGTACATTTTTTTGGGTATTTGTTCGGCCCTCGATAGGCTGTTTTGCTGTTTTGACTTTTATGAACAATGCTGCAGTGAATGTGACAGTGAAGTTATCTCTTTGAGATGCAGATTTCATTTTCTTCTTATTTTTAACTTTTTGAGGAAACTTTATACTGTTTTCCACAATGGCTCTGCCAATTCTTATTTCTACCAACTGTTTACGGAGATTGCTGTTCTCTACATTCTCCCCACACTTCTTTAAAAATTTTTTTTTAAAATGATAGACATCCTGACAGATGTTAGATGATATCTTATTATTTAAATTTGCATCAGTTTCCCTAATAATTAGGGATGCTGAATACCTTTTCATGTACCCACTGGCCACTTTATGTCTTCTTTTGAAAAATGTCTATTCA